CATTCACTAAGAATTTAAGAACAATTTAAACAGAACAAAAAACTCAATTATATGCCTAGACCTAAAACTTTGGTCAACTTCTCAGGGTTCTAAATGGATATTCAAAAGATTTTTTGTGATAGAATAGGAACGATCGGTTCCAATGTAGCCAAAGAAACTCGATTTTTTGTGACATTTTAGGATGCCATCTATGTATGGGAATGATTCAAGCTGCTATAATTGTTCATTATGTTTCATATTTTTGTGTATATGTCTGCTTTTTAAAGTCTTTCTTGCAGTTTACTCATATGTACACTCTGGCATGCTTAGGGCTGGAAAAAAATCCCAAAAATCCCAAACCAAACCGAAAAAATCCCGATCTCAAACCAAAAAAATCCCAAACCAAAATTCCCGAAATTTTTGGTATGTCATCCCGAACCAAACCGAAATTTTCGGTATTCCCATACCGAACCGAAATAAATATTATATATATATATATATATTATTTTTTAATTATAGAGAATTATTTCAACCGTTCATTGTTTTAGATTTAATCTGTGCCGTTCATTTGTTTTTAGGTCAGATCCCCCATTTCAATTTTCACTTCCGTTCCATCAAGAGCTTGAAGCGCAGCCACTGTGCCACTAGCCTTCCTTCACCAGAATCACCACCCAGCTTGGCTTATAACTATTATTTTTGCTTTTGAGTTTGTTACTTTATTTATTTTAAAACCTTGGCTTGTAACTATTATTTTTGCTTTTGGGTTTGGTACCTAATTTATTTTTATTGCATGCATGATGCATGTGTAGTGGGCAGATTGAAACTTTGTTATTATTGAAACTTTGTGCACAAATGGGCAGTGGGTAGATTGAAACTTAATTTATGAAACTATGTCAAATTTGTGCAGTGAGTAGTGGGCAAATTAGTAGAAATAACAAATTGGCAGTTTGGGCCCAAAAGCATAATATGTCAAATTTTAGTCCAAAAGCCCAAAAGCATTTCGGGATTCCCGATTTGTCCCGAAATCCCGAAATAATTTCGGGATTCCTGAAAATTGGGATTCCCGAAAATTTGGTTTGGGATTGGTATTGAATTTGGGATTCCCGAAATTTTCGGTTTGAGAATCGGGACAAGGGTTTCGGTATGGGATCCCATACCGAACCACCCCTAGGCATGCTAAGTTTTAGTTGAACCCACTGAAATCATGAAAGAACCAAATTTAGTTGGGTTTGGGAGAACAGATAAATATACATGGACATAATGTTTTATGGATTTTGATCAAATATTTAACTTTTTCACTAAAGGGGCAATGATGAGTTAGTGGGAGGGGTGCAATGATGAGTGGGAGGGGTGCAATGATGAGTCGGATTGGATGGGTGACAGAAACTAGAGGATCTGAATCATGAGTTACTGAGAAGGAAAGACCTTGAAGAAAAAATCAAACAGTTTAGTGTCACATTTGGTTGTCGGAAGACATCGGTTATGTCTTTCCACAGTGAGTTTTAAGTCTAAGATTGAGAGTTTGAGAGCCAAAAATCCAGTTTCAGTATCCAAATTTATTGGATGTTGAAGATTATCAAGTGGCCTTATTAGCAGTATTTATGTAGGCTGTAATGCTGTTTTCTTTTCTATTCAGAACGATTCTTTCTAACTCGTGATTATGTATCAATGTGGATTTCTGGTATGACCTTTTTTAATTCTTGTGATGTTTTGAGGGGTTTTTTTTTTCATTAACGATGTTTTGTGGGGATGTTTACGATAGGCATGGCAAAAAATATTGGGTCTTGAATAACTTTTATTCATTTAAGCACAAAGAAATGTTCTGTTTTGCTTGATAAATTTCAATAGAAGTACTCTTATTAGGTTGTAAATATGTGGATACTCCTATGGTAGAAAAACATCACTTGGGTATTTACCCAAATTAGGTTCTTGTTGATAGAGGTAGATATCAAAGACTTGTGGGGAGGTTAATTTATTTATCTCATCGTCCTGATATTGCATATGTTGTGAGTGTTGTAAGTTAGTTTATGCACTTGTCTAGTGAAGATCACATAGCTAAGGTGATGCAAATTTTAACATATTTGAAGCCTGCACCCAGTAAAGAAATACTTTATGGAAAAACGTCTGCGAAATTATGGCATATCTGAAGTCTGCATCCAGTCTAGGCTACCATTCAAGCCCTTAAGGTTCACATGACAATGGAATAACATTTGCGAAATTATTTCTTAAGGTTCAAGTTGTGATGATCGCTAAAGTTAACATGATTGTGAAATTGTTTTAGAATAGTTTTAAATTGATTAAAACATTCTTTCACATGGGGGGCGAGTCAGGTGACAAATATTTGGTAGGGCCAACCAATACATATGAGTTTTATCTCTATTAGAAAGACAGTACACATGCGTGATAAGTAATTTGAAAACAAACATGTTTGGCTTAGCCAAGAAAAAAAGAAAACCTTAATTGTGGAAGAGCCTTCCAAGATGGGTGGACGCCTCCCAACATGCAATCCACTGTTGAAATTTGTGGCTTAATTTTATTCGGGCCTTCTATTTGTCTGCCCATATTGTTTTGGTCCTTTAGCTACTCATGTGAAGGCCCATGTGATGGCTAGGGTTTAATTAGGCTAGGGTCGTAAGACAAGGTATGTCAAATCTCGTGGAACATCTCAAAGAGCGTCCCATGTTGTTCATAGAGGATCTCACTCCTGATTACTATTTGTTGTTCTAAGCTTTCAACTCCTCGAACTTAGCTTGAAGAACAACTTTCTTTCTTTCCTTCAGTCACTGCCTCACGCTAGACACGAAAGGGGTGTCGTTCTGGGTGTTGTGGCTTCCTTGGCTCCCCATGTTGGAGAGGGATACATGATCAAAGAAGAGTGTCCAAACAATGGATACTAGCTTGACAAAGCTGATGAGAGTAGGAATAAGTGTCGTTTCCCACAAACGACGCCAAATCTTGATGCACAAAATTGGAGATACTTTGGAACAAAGTAAAGTGTCAAGTTTATGACCTTTGCACGGTTACTCCGGTCATCTAAGTTGGGCTACGTCCGCGAAGGTAGATGATTTTTCAATAATAATATAGAGTTTACATGACACAATGGTCTAAGCATAATCATCATTAGCAAGCTCTAATGTGATCTTCTTTTATAGTTGAGAAGTCTCTGGCTTTCGTGCACAGTCGATGTGGGGCTCTAGGAGCTTTATTCCGACATTGACACGTGTCATGCTGTGATTAGCCTCTTGATTGGAGGTAAATTCTTGTACTTCAGCATGGGTGTCTCAACATGAACCCCTCAATTAAAAAAGTGAATAAAAATTATGGGAGAAAATTGTGTTTTGTAAAACCCAAAACCAATTACCTTTACAGATAAAAATAACAAACATGTTACCAAGGAGAAAATTTCAGTATGACCGGTACACGGGATGATACACCACGTGTCATTATACAAATGGTGGGATATGTGTGCTAAAAAGTTAATAACTTAAAAAATAAAATTTCTCACTACTTCTATTTAAACATGTGGTATACCACTTGTATTCCCGTCCCTATGAAAAATTTCTCGTTAAGAAGAAAACTATTGCTTTCATATATGCTAAGTGTAGCATTGTCATCACCACCACGACGACCACCACCCCCCATCATCAATATCTGCATCACCATCACTATCGCCATTAGAATCTTCATAGCTTCCGTCATCAGAAATATCATCACCATCTACCGTAAACATCATCATTAGATTCATTACCATCACCAAGACCACCATCTGCATCACCTTCATTGTCGTCGTCATCGTCCTTGCGACACCAATAATAATCTCGTACTACCTCCTCTGTTATCTGCACTCCTAGTTCTGGGGAACTCTTCCACTCAAGGTAGTTAATCTTCAACTCAGGGCATTTGTATATATGTACGGTTTTCAAGGATCGGAATTTGACAATGCAATTTCCAGAGAAGAAATCTTGCAGACGTGGTAGAGAGTAAAGTTTCAAACTTTGCAACTGGCTAAAACAAATCTCACCATCATTTTCTGCATCATCTGCATCTGATGTCGTTGCCCCTATTCCTCTCATTCTTTTACAATGCCCAACCGTCATTTCTCTTAGCCGCTTTAAAGTTTTGGCTATAGTGTAAGTTGTCAAATATTTCAATCTATGACAACCAACTACTTCCAAAGTTGTTAAATTCTTGAAGGGAATAGCAGATAACACCGGATCCTTCAATGCAGCACAAGCAACCACATGTAGAACTTTCAAGTTTGGAAAAACTGGGTCTGCCCCTGGGAAATTCTCGTTGTGTAGATGCCTCAACTTCCGCATTTCCTTAAGCTTCAAAACACTTAAATGTGGGAAGGTCACATCTGGATGTACACTATTCTCAAATAAAGAAACTTTCTGGTCGGAGTACTCAAACACCAACGATTTTAGTTTCCTAAACAACTGTGATGAGGATGGACCACACCATATCTCCATGTCTCTGCCTAAGTTCATGTTTTCCAAGTTGGGGAATGATGCATCCTGCAATATTGCCAACGCATGAATGATAAACGACAAAAATAACGACAGAAGGAGATTTTTTCAATGAACTAGCTTGAAAAGCTAACTTTCGTTTAAGAAAATTATGTAATGTATTTTTACCTTGTCAATTAAGAACAGAGAGTGTTTAATTGGAGTGTAAAGACCTCCAAACTCATGCTTCTGGAAACTTGAAATTTCAGAGGCAAAAATGTCCAATTTACCACATTCCTTCACATCCACTTGTTCGAGTAGCGGCCATTCGGAAGCATGCATTCCTGGATAGAAGCTCTTAAGTTGGGCTAGACAGATAAATTCAATATTTGTTGATTTTGGAAACACAAACTTCGGCATCATTTCTAGTCCCTCTTCCTTGGAAATTATTTCCTCCACTCCAGAACAGAACTTCACTTTTAGCTCTCGTAGTTGCTGAAGACCTCTAGCCACTGAGCATGGAAAAATATATTTCAGACTCTTACAGTCATCTATAAATACCGAATCTAGATTTTCACAACCAGACATTTTCAACTGAGTCGTAAAGGTGTAAGGTGTTTCTTCGATCTCAAAAACCACCTCTAAACAACTGCACGAACTTATCAATAAACTTCCTAAAGCATTCAATCTTCCTGCAATGCTAGGTGTAAAGATGCTTATTAGACTATGGCATTCGATAACTTCAACATCTCTAAGTTTGTAGAAAGAGTCTGGAGCAAGTTGGTTGTGCCATACTGTAGTCAAAGTAGATAGCCTAAAGATGGACAATATCTCCAACTTTGGAAACCCTACCTGTATTCGAATTATACAAAATTGTTAAATTCTATTTTTTTTTTTTTTTTTTGTTGAAGTGAATATATTAGACATAAGAATAATGATCAATAAAAGAGAAACAATAGTATAATAATTTTACCTTGTCGTCAAAAAGAAAGTATAGTTCTTCAGTCTCAAGTTTAGGTTCAAAGACAAATCCCTTCAGTTCTGTACAATTCTTCAATTTCAAACTCTCCAAAGATGGAAACTGGACATTACAACTTAGTGAGCAGAATCTAGAGAGTTTTGGAAGATCTCTTAGCTTCATATGTTGTAGCTTACAAAACATGCCATCCGTTTTTTCTTCACCATATTCTTTTGTTGAAACTATCTCTTCCATTGATTCACATCCGGTTATCTCTAGTTTTTTAAGTTGTACAAGATTCCTAGCCATGGGAGACGATAACACAAAAGTTAAACCAGTACATTGATCCACCACCAAGCTTGTTAAGTTCGGCAACACAACCTGCAGTATTTGTACATTCCATTTTTAAGAGAAGAGAACTCACATTAATTGTTATTATCTAGTCAAATCGTATCTTTAGATGAAAAAATTATACCAATAGATATTTCTCGATACGCACTGGATAAAACTGAACCACTTCAAATGATCAAATATATGTAAATTTAGCCAGACAAAATCTAGAAGTTCTATGGTGCTTGTTTCATGTTTCTTTGTAAATTATATCGCTCAAATAAATAAATAAATAAATAAGAAGTACTAATGGCATAAATGGGAAAGAATGACACCAAAGGCATACCTCCTCAGTAATGATATGTGTAAATTGGGCATTGTTTTTCACATGGAGATGCTTGAGTTGTTGAAAATCTTCACTACCTGAGTGGTACACAACATTATCAGCTCCCTCCGACCCATCCAAGTACAAATCTTCACATGATCTCTTCAACAACATTTCTAGACCATGGTCCAATTCACAGCCAGTTGGGAGGTGGAGCTTCAATGTATTGAGGGTTTCATCCACATCGTCCCATTTTGGCGCAGTGCCGATTAGTATTTGGTATCTTTTTAACTTGTCTGTGAACAAGTCCGTCGGAATACTGCTAGCATCTGGAACATGTATGCTTAATGCAGCTAAACGAGGCAAGTCCTTCAGTTCCAAAATGCTAGCATTACTTCTTTCTCCGGTGACTCCTTCTGGCACCCATCCGGTGAAGCTGTTTTTCATTCTCAAGTCTTCTAGACTTTTCAAACTTGATATAACATTAGGTGAAATCACTTTGAGTTCAGAGCACCAGCTTAAATCGAGTAGTCGAAGACGAGTCAATTTCCCTATTTCTTTCGGCAACTCTTTAAGCTTGGAATATATAAAGCTGAGAATTTCTAGTTGCGATAGCTGTCCGACTAGAGTTATGTCTCCCAACACGCATTGATCCAAACACAATGTACGAAGATTTTCTAGGAGCAGAAGAGATGGAGGTAACGACCAAATATGCACATTGGTAAAATCCATAACTTTAAGCTTTCTCATCTCCTCAAAAAAGTTACCTGGGATTTCAAGCAAGTCACCATCATATTGCAAATGAAATAACTCCAGTTGTTGGCATTTCAAAACTTCAGGAAGCCTAGGCTTGTTTTTGCAAGGCAAAGAGATCATTGTGCAATTTTCCAAAAAATCCTTATTGTTTGGCCATTCCTTCAACTCATCTCCATATGTTCTTAATAAGGCACGTTGGCCTTTGGATGCAATCGAGATGGCAACATCGCGTACCATATCATGCATTGTGAATGATGTATTATCCTCGGATTCGAGTAACAAACAAGAATCCTTAAGCTCTTCAATCCACGAGTGCAATGCATATTGTGCGTGCTCCACTGAGTCAATGCTATTAAACAAACCCAAACCAATTGTATATTTCAACAAGTTTGTCAAAGTAGCATAGGCTCCCCCAAGACGTACCAAAATTCCACATATCAAGAATAGGGGCTTAAGCTTTTGATCATCCAATTGATTGTAACTCCACTCTAAAGCCGAGTATGCTTCTTGTTCGCTTGAGTGTTCGTTGTCAAACACTTTTAGGCACCTCAAGCCATCCCTCCATACTGGTAAAGTACTTCTATTTCTTATAGAGCTTGCGACTGTGACAACCAAAACTGGCAAACCTCCGCATTTTTTGGCTACTTCAGTTGCCATAGTTTGTATGTTGGGATTTTTAACAACACCACCTGCCTTCGTCTCAAATAAACGCCAAGCTTCTTCCTCATTTAAAACTTGAAACGCAAAGTCTTTTTGCAACCGCTTCTCTGAGGATAGCAATTTTCGAGTTCTGGATGTCAACAGTATTCTACAAGTCGGCAGACAAGGAAGTCCTACACTCTGCAAGTCAATGCTTTCCCAAATGTTGTCTAAAATTACAAGAACTTTCTTGGCTTTTATCCTGTTACACAGACGAAGTGCTCTGTCTGACATAGTTTCGCTTTCATAAACTTCCATACCTAACTTTCTGGCAATTTCTTTTTGAATTCCTTCAAGGTCCAGATTTTGCACACTTCTTACCATAACCGCATCAACAAATAACTTTTCTTTTACAGCTTGCCTAAGGACTTCTTCAACCAGTGTGGTCTTCCCCACGCCTCCAATACCATACACCAAAATCAGGTCGGTATTAGGAATTCTCAGTTCATCCATGATTTCCTTTACAATTGAAGTCCGCGAATCAAATACCTCATACTGTTTGTGAGAAACCATGGATACCTCTTGTGGGCGGACATTGTACGAAATGATAGCGAAATCTCTTCTTGCGTAGAGCTCAACAACCGCCTGCTCCAACTTTGTTGATCTCCTGCCTAGCTTGTAACGGAGCACCGGGTTTGGACAGACCCCACGGAGACAGCTCATCTTTGCTTGCGTATCAGGCTTGCATAATTCGTTCGCCTTCTCGGTGATCTCAACCACGCTTTTCCGCCAGTTCAGGACGTCAGTGTGGATTTTTTCACCTTTTTCTTCAGCTCCAACAACCTCGCGCTCTAGCCGCTCTTTAGCGGCACTCAATTCGTTCACTTGAGTCTGTAGACTCTCGAGGTTTCTTTTGCAGTGAAGTAGGTAACCCACTTGGCGTATAGCTGGTTCAACTGCATACTCGGCAACTTTTTCGACAATTTGATTAACAATCTCCATGCCTGCTGATGAATACAAAATAAATTAGAAAAAAAGGAGATCAAGAAATACTTTGCTTTTCTAATTGACTTAGGAGTAATCTTTCAACAACTTATAAATAAACACAGTACATTTCAAAGCGTATTATGAAAAACGGAAAATTCTATTCCACTTCTTGAAAAAGATTACTTTTTGAAGAAAACATTGTCTAAGATTAGAAACTAACTCTAGTTTTTTGGCATTTAATTGTAATTTTCGAATATTAATTACGTTTTAATAAAGTGGGGCCCAGTAACACAATTGGTTTTTATCTCTATTAAAGAAATGATACAAGTTAAGGTAAAATTATGTGGTAAGAGTAGCGTTTTTGTTTTCAAAAAGTTCAAAGCAATGGTTGAACTACAACATGGACTAAAAATAAAAAAGCTTAGAAGTGGTAGAGGTGGCGAATATACCTCAATTGAGTTCAAGGAGTTATGTGAGGATATAGGACTACAGAAACAACTAACTGTTGCTTACTCATCATAGTAGAATGGTATTACAGAGAGGAAAAATTAGACGGCGATGCCACATTCATTTTGGAGTGAGGCAGTTAAAACAGTAGTCTATCTTCTCAACAGATATCCAATAAAGACACTTGATAAAATGAATCCTTTTGAAGCATTTAGTGGTAGGAAACTTGGTGTGAAGCATCCAAGGGTGTTCTATTTGTTATGCACAGATGCCAACACAATTGAGACACAAACTTGAAGACAACACCACGAAATGCATCTATGTGGGATATAGGAGTTAAGAGAAAGGGTATAGATTTTTCAACCTTGAAACTTACAAGGTGATTATTTTGAGGGATGTCATAATTAATAAAGAAGCTGTTAGGAATTGGGATAAAAAGATTGAAGATATCATCTTAGTACCACTTAGACTTGATGAAGTGGAATGTGAAACACAAATTGAGAGTGAAATTGTGTCTGAAATTTAGTCTCCCCAACGTTTAAGTTCAACACTAGAGGACCTAGAAGTGCAAGACTCTCCCTTAGGATCAACTTCATTAAGAATGAGGTGGTTGAGTGAGATTTATGCAACCTGCAACTATCGTATAGTGGAACCTGAAAGCTTTGAAGAAGTTGAGAATGACCAATCTTGGCAGAAGGCAATGAACGATGGAATTGTATGATTGAGAAAAACTCAACTTGGGAACTTGTGAATAGACCAAGGAACAAACTAGTGATAGGTGTGAAAGGCATCTATAAGACCAAATTGAATCTAGATGGCTTTGTACAAAAGAACAATGTAAGACTAGTTGCTAAGGGTTATTTCCAACAACCTGGAATGAATTTCAATGAAACCTTTGCTCTAATGGCAAGGTTGGACACTATTAGGACTTTAATTGCTTTGGCCACACATAAATTCAGCTTTTCTCAATAGCATATTGGAATAAGGTTTTGTGGTTCCAAATAAAGATGAGAAGGTGTTCAAATTAAGGTAGGCACTGTATGGACTGAAGTAAGCACCAAGGTCTTGGTATAGTGAAATTGACTACTACTTCAGCAAGAGAGGTTTTAGAAAAAGTTCAAGTGAGGCAACAATTTATACAAAGACGGGAAAAGGCTCAGAAAAGCTAATTGTGTTTATCTATATCGATGATGCGGTGTTCACTGGAAGCAATGAAGCTATGATTTCTGAACTCATAGAGGATATGATGAAGCATTACGAAATGACTAATTTGGGATTTCTTCATTACTTTCTGGGAATTGGAGTGATTCCAGAATCCAGTAGTATTTTCATACATCAGCAAAAATATGCACAGACCTTACTTGAGAAATTTGGAAGGAAATGATGCAAGTCAGTTGCTACCCCATTGATTACAAATGAAAAAGTGTAAAAATGATGGAACTGAAGTTACCGATGAGAATTTGTACAAGAAAATTGTTGGCAGTCTACTCTATTTGACAGCAACAAAAGTTGATATCATGTTTGTAGCAAACCTACTATCAAGATTTATGCATAGTATAACAAAGATTCACATGGAAATTGCAAAAAGGGTCCTCAGATACATCTCATGAACCTTGGATTTTGGACTCAAGTATACAAAGTGAAAATGCAGATCTAACTGGCTTTTGTAATAGTGACTGGGGTGGAAGTGAGGATGATATAAGAACTACCTCAGGTTATGTCTTTACATTTGGATATGGGATATTTTCTTGGGCTTCAGTCAAGCAACAAAGTTTTGCACTGTCCATCACAGAAGCTGAGTATGCGAGTGCTGCTAAAGCAACATTTCGAGCTATATGGCTAAGATTTGTTCTGAACGATTTTCGAGAAATGCAATTGGATGCCACACCGTTCATGTGTGACAACAACTATGCAATAACCAAGACTAAAAATCATGTGTTCCATCAGAAGACTAAACACATTAAAAGAAAATTTCATTTCATCCGAGGGGCATTGCTGGAAAACACAATTGAGTTGTTGTACTGCAAGTTTGAAGATTAGACTGCAGATATTTTCAGCAAAACTCTGCCTAAAAACATATTTGTTTATCTGAGAGGACTACTTGGAGTCAAAGCATAATCCATTTAGAAGGGAATGTTGGAGCTAAATGAGATTTGGTTTTGATCCTACAACTTGGAACACAAGAAATTTGTTTGTGTTTGTTTGCTTGAATTCCATTAGGCTAGTGTTATGTAGCTGCTAGTGTTACTTTGTTGTTAGTGAACTAGGTGTGGACTTGGTTTCATTAGACGAGTGTATGCACCAAATTAGTTTTTTTAGATTGAAGGGTTCAGAGTAATTGTTTTTGTTTGGTAGTGAAGGAGAAGAGATAAAATTGTATGAAGGATGTTGAGCTGCTATTATTAGCTCAAGCATTTCATCTCTAAAATTCTCTGATTTGTTCTTCATTCTTTTTCAAGATTTCTTCACTTATGTACACTAAACTATTGCAGATTTAACATAAACACGATACATAATCAATACACTGACTGAAAAGTACAAGCTTGCATGGCACCATATTTGGAAGCAAACCAAATGCCATAAATGAGATCCAAGATTCCAACTCAAATCAAATACGGTTATAATTAAATAACGTACCCTTAGCTCTATTGGTTATGGATGAAGTGAGTTGATCTTCAATATTTACGTTCCTTGGAGCACCAATGCAAATCGGTTGTTCTGTAAATTAAGAATAAGCTAATGAAGTAAGAAGGAGGAGTAATAATTTCTTTCTTTCTTGCAAAGTTCTTTTGGATAGAATTGCAATTTGCTAACCAAAAGCAAAAACAACTAAGAAATCTAAAAGCACTAAGTTTTATATTCTTCTTCTAATTTAACAACTTGTGTACTCTAAAACTAGGTTATCAAATGGGCCCTAAACTGCATGTAAAATTGTGTACTTCACTAAGGTCAATTAAAAAAAGATGCAGGTCACCAATTAGGATGGCCTATAAAGTTATGCCTGCGAGTTGACGGAAGATTAAAAATTGTAAGAGATATCGTGTTTCGAAGATGCAAAGAATTTGCCAAATTAGGCAAAAATATTTTGCTTCAACGCTAAAAGCTTTTGTCCAATATTTGTTGATTGTTAAGGAAGCATCCTAGGAAAGGAAATAAAAATATTGAAACACATGAAGCAAATTTATATGACAATAGAATTATACTACAAAGAAAAAAAATGATAGAGTAGGGTTACCTAGTTTTATTTATTTATTTTATTGTTGTGTGGATTGGAGTTGGGTTTTGTACCAATTGGAGAGGACGTTTTTTCAGCAATTCAGCAGGACTTCACCACCATCAACATTCTTAGCTAGATAGTGAACGTTGTATGAGGCATCATTATTATCTACAAACATGGAATTTGAAAAGATATAACTGTTAATTCAAGCTTGAACCAACTTTTGCCTATTTACAATGAAAAAAAAACAAATCATAATTTCAACTCACTCTCTCATCAGAATGTACAAGATAATCTGAATTAAAAAATTTAACCCAAAAAAAATATTAAAATTTTGATATTTATAAATCTAAAAATCGCACTCTCAAATTTAAACAAAACAAACTCCATAGATGTGTGTTTTTTATGTTATAATCTCAAGTAAAATAGACTTACATACAGTTGTTGTAAAACAACACTTGTATAACACCTATACCAAAATTTACTCACATTCTTAGTTGTAAGTTATTGATTTGGTGAAAGTTGATGACTCATTTAATGTATTGATACATTCGTAGTTTTTTAATCAATTTTTACATACAATGAATAATATGGGTTCTATATTTACACTCATTCTTTCTAAATTTCTATTCTCAGATTTTTATTTATTTTAATTCATAAGAAAACAATTTTTTTTAAAAGAAACAAAAAAAAGGCAGAGAAGGCAGTAATTAACATATTCACTAGGCTAGGAAAACTAAAGTCAAATAAGTTACTCAATGTTGATATAGCTGGTGAGTCTGCTTGATTGTGGCGATAAGAGGTTGAAATGCTTCTGTGAATCTTTTCGGTTCCCAAAAGGAATGAATAACTATGACTTGCCACCGGTTGTCCTTTAAAAAAAAAAAATATCCATAAGTTCCAAAAAAATTGAAACCTGTAATAATGCCAAAAAGCATATCTGATGAAAGGAATGATAAATGATAATTTTTTTTTTTTAGAAATATCTTCAATTTTTATACTATTATATACTTCAGTCCCAAACGGCACATGAAGTTACAAAAAGAAGGAAAAGGATCTCCTCCTGATTTATTACGTGGAGATCATAAGAATCTTTACATTTCAATCGTTTATCGTGTATCGTGTGGTCATAAATTATTTAACTTTTATCATTTTAAATTAAACTCAAATAGTATTTGACGAAAATTAATCACCTATTACATAATAAACGGCTGGGATGTGAGGATCTATACGAGCATCACCTAATGGATCCGAAGGGATCCTTTTCCCAAAAAAGAATCGAAAGAAGGAGAAAATGTGAAATTCCCAGATTAGTGTTACACTACAACACTAGCAATCACCTTGTGTATGTTTAAAAAAATAGTTTAAATAAAGTTTTGTTGGAAAATAGCATTAGCATGCCAGCTGTCAGCGACTTGAGCACTATGGAGAGAATAATTTGCTTCAGTGTTCTTGAATTTGCAAACATTTGGAGCACATAATTGTTGTTGTGTGTCACTACCAATGAAGTTGAGAATAGCTGGCACCAAAAAAAGCAAATAATTTGTTATTAAGCATGCAGACAATATATTTCACACTTATCAAAACAATTATTTCTATTAAATACAAATTAAATCAGATTAAATATCTATCTTATTTACTAAAACTAATGCATGGTGGAACAACACAATGATATACTTAACATATAAATTCTTTTACTTTTCACACACTTTTTTAATTTTAGACTGTTAGATTAGATGATTTTTATTAGTATAATTTTCTATAAAAACATGGTGAAAACACATTTTTCTAAACTTAATCATCAAGTGAGTTGAGAATGATAAAATTATAAGGAATTTTAACGAAAAACTCGCGGTACTGTTCACTTTAACGAAAAACCACATTTTTACACTAAAAAGTCAATCATGGTACTATTCATTTTACTTTTTATTTTGTCCTTATCATTAAAATTCAAAGTTTTCAAGTTCTTTTCATTAATTTTCCTAAAATTATATTGGTAAATTTGTATAGAAAAGATGAAATACCTCAGGACAAATAGATTGGTAACTATTATGGTAAAATATTAATTAATTGAAATCGAATTTGATGACATTTTTTTCAATGGATTTTGCTTTGTTCTACACATTAGATTATCTTGATTAGAGGACGATCAAATATGTAATTTAGGGGTATTCAATTAAATTTTTAAGTGATTATATGAAATTGAACATGTATTCAATTATGATTTTAAGATGGATTATTAAAATTCTTTGAAATTCAGTAGTATTCAATTAAGATTTAAAAAAATATATATATATATCATTCTAAGTGTATTCAATCAGAAATTAAGAAATTAATTTTAAAGAATTTGAAAAAGTTGAGGAATTTGAGAGAATTTGAGAGAATTTTAAGTATACACAAATCTTACATCTTCTTATGAAATTTTGAGAGAATTGAATTAAAATTTATATAAAAACTCTACAAATCAATTAACTCTATAAAAATACTTGAATTTATAAAATTCATTAAAATCTTTCAAATTCTCAATTGAATATACCCTCCTAACACTAGACAATTCATCGTAAAAACATAGAACCATTAACCCTTACTAAAAATATGAACTATTATCTTTATTATTATGTATATAATCATATCACAAACAATCCCGTGATATGTCATAAATTCATAATATCATGAGGGCATAGACACATACAATTATCAAGAAGAACACAAAACCATTAACACACTTCTCCACCGCCTTGACCCCTTCGCTGTTGGGTGAGTTTGGGTGGTGTTTGGAGGTGATACGGTGGTAGTTCTCGGTTTTGCCGAGAGGGAGAAGGAGAGTTGCAGAGGGGGACAGATGGTATGAGAGAGAATGACCGTATTGGGAGATGGGGGAGTCTGAGTGTAATAAGAGAGTAAATGACGCGTGGGAGAGAGGGAGAGAGGAATTGGTGGGAGTGCAATGATGAGTCAGATGGATTGGACGGGTGATAGAAACGGAATTGGATTCTCTTTATGTACACAAGCTCAGGAGCTTGCTAATCGTTGGATTTTGATTTAAGAATTATAATTATCATAATTTTTAAAGAAATTCTCTGTTTATAATCGTTGAATTAAAATTCAACAAACCATCAACAAGCTTCTGAGTTTGTGTTCAGGAGAGAATCCAATTCCGAGCTCAGAAGAGAATCCAATTCCGATAAAAACCAGAGGAAAATTCCAGTGGTCCAACTGGAGGGCACAACAACGAAGAAAAAGGAAAAAGATGACAGACGCGTGGAATGAGAGGGCATAAAATGTCTTTTCAAGTATTTATATTATTATGATTAACATAATTATAATAATTATCTTCCGAATAATTGGAATTATTTTAACATTTTATTATTCAAAGAAGGTGTTCGAATGCAAAGCCACCTAACTAGGCCTAAGATCATGCATGCCTACATGCTGTTATTCATTATTTTGTTATTATCTTTTGGATAAGGAATCGAAATGGGTGGTCAGCAGGTGGAGCAAAATCAGTGGAGTGCATAGTCAGATAGATTGGATGGGTGATAGAAATCAGAGGAAACTTCCAGAGATCCAGCTGGAGGGCAGCCTCGGCACAACAACTAAGAAAAAGAAAAAAGATGATGGACGCGTGTAAACTGTAGAGAAGGTATGGAAACACGCATGACTGACCAAGAGGGAAGGAAACTCGCCAAAAGTTGGAGAGATTTTATCAGCTCACGAGATAGTACATCACGTGTTATTATATAAATAGTGAGATATATATTTTAAAAAATTAATAACTTATAAAATAAAATTTTTCACCACTTACGTAGTGATACGTAATGTATCACTTGTGTTCTCGTCACAATAAAAAATTTCTTCAAAAGTTAAAGAAAAAAAATAAAGTAAAAAGGGAACGGTTGAGGGGAAGTGGGGTCCAGCCCGATGGGTTGCCGGTCGCCCATGTGCAATCCCAATTGCTGTATTTTTTTGATCGGGCCGTATTTATCTGCACTATTAGTTGATCTAACGGTCTTAATTCCAAATTATTTAATTTAAAATTTATAAAAATGTTAAATTTAACGGGATGAGATTGAATATGATAAATTCAACCAAAAAAAAAAAAAAAAAATCAACAGTCCAAAATTAAGAAACTGCAATTATATGCCTAGACCTAAAACTTCGGTCAACTTCTCAGGGTTCTAAATGGGTATACAAGAATAGAAACGATCGGTTCCAATGTAGCCAAATAAACTCAATTTTCTGCGACATTTTAGGAAGCCATCTATATATAGAGGGATGATTCAGGCTGCTATAATCACTTATTATGTATATGTCTGCTTTTCAGAGTCTTTCTTGCAGTTTACTCTTTATGTGCACTCTGGCATGCTAAATTTTAGCTAAACCCATAGAAATCATGAAAGAACCAAATTTATTCGGGTTCGGGGTGCAATGATGAGTCCGGCTTTTTTAATTCTTGTGATATTTTGATGGGTTGTTTTTTTTTTTTTTTTTTTTTTTTTCCTACAACCATACTTTACTTTGAGGGGGGAATTTGGGCTAAACTAGATAATATGTCATACATAAATATGTATTGAACTTGTCATTTATATTAGTCGAACATGAAACTTGTCATTTACTAATATAGAAGAGTATCATTGGATTATAGTGTTACTACATCTACAAAGATCGTTAGAACCTTTCAAATGTAAAAGATTGTTTTTATGTTTTCGTGTCTTTCGTTCCAACTTTAATATTGTGTCATTTATAGATTATCACATGAGAAAAATATCAAGTTGACTTCCAATTATTTATATTATTATAATTATCATAATCATAATAATTATCTTTTGAATAGTTGGGATTATCTTGATATTTTATTATCTAGAGAAGGTGTTCGAATGCAATCACATTTGCGATGCCAAAGTAGTTCAGCTGATTAAAAGTATTTACTCTGTATCCAATATCTCAAGTCTAATTTCCTCATCTTCTATATCGCTAGTACAAAATAGAAAAATAAAATTGTGGGGTTGTTAGAGTGTACTCCCCCATCTTCCCATTACATTACACCACACCGATAGTGCCGTAGTGGGCTACAAGTAAAGGCACACTTCACATATTAAAAAGTATTCAAAAGGTGTTTAAGCCCAAACATTAAGTAGTTTGGTTATTTAGGGTTGGAGATAAGATTGTGATGGAAATTGAGGCCCATAAACCATCCCACCATGATGGAGATATCCACATCATGAAAAGTCCCCTACAAGAACAACAAAAAGTGATAATCCTCTATATTTTTTTGGGAGAAAATCTATCACAACATTTAATATTTGAGGAAGTGTGAACCTCTTTTAAGGAAAAAGATTATTGCCGGATCCTTTTTTTGGGGATCCTAGGGATCATGCGATCGTAACCGTTTATCGTACATCATACTGTTATAAATTATTTCAAAATTTAAAATTTAAAATTAAATATAAATAGTCCTAACAAAAATTAACAGCATGATGTATGATAAACGGTCACGATCGCGAGATCCATAGGATCCCCAGAAAAAGGATCCGGCTTGGATCCTTTTCCCTCTTTTAGGTGCAACAAACTCCATGATTTTAGCTTGAATCACGGAAATGGGGCACTAATCAAATGATGGTACCTTAATCCTGATGATTGTCGAGAATCAATGTTATTATTGTGTTATATTATGTGTAATTTAACCAGAAAGGGAAAAAAAAAAAAGGTTGCTGCAACGAAGAAACTGCAAGTGTGCAGGAGACTGACTCTAATTTAACCAGAATGAAAACAATGAACGAATTGCGGAAATGGAACTATCTTTCTAGGCAAAATTTGACCATAGAGAAAATGCTAGATCATGAAGAGATAGGAGTGGGATATTCAGAGCTTAGACTCTGTTCTAGGCTTATCCAGCCTAGGCTGCCATACTAACCCTTAAGGTTCACATGACAATGGAATAAGGTTTACATGACTATTTCTTAAGATTCAAGTGGTGATGATCGCTAAAGTTAACATGATTGTGAACTTGTTTTAGAATACTTTTAAATTGATTAAAACACTTTCACATGGGGCGCGAGTAAAGTGACAAATTAACCTATTTGGTAGGAACCACCAATACTTATGGGTTTCATCTCTATTAGAAAAATAATACACATACATACGGGATGAGTAATTTGAAAACAATCGCTTTTGGCTCAGCCAATAAAAACAGAAAACCTTAATTATGGCAGAGCGTTCCAGGATGGGTGGACGTCTCCCATACAAGCTGAGACTGAGATTGATCCAAAACAAGAAAACATCCGGCACCCCTAATGTCCCAAAGAGGTATTGCAGCATCACATTCACCTGTAAGCAAAACCCACTGGCTAGGAGTAGACCATTCCACAATCATCACACCACCTGCGATCACGAAAAATACAGCACCTAGGACCCTCCTGATGCACGCAACTTTATTCTCGGTTATAAGTTAAACTTAAACCCAAGAAACAAGGCTAAAAACACTTGCACTTTTATAAACAAAAACTAGAGAACCCAAAGGAAGAACATAAATCTACCAAGAGCTGAAACCTAGCTTTTACGATACTAAGGTTCTAAGCATGAATTCCGCCACTTACAGGGTTCAACCAGAAAATCCAAATGCTACAAATTACAAAATGCTGAGAAAATCGACTAGGCCGGATTGTTTAAAGAAGCGAATTTTCGCAACATTCGTGATTGTCCACCCTAAATTTCAAGAACAATCCCTGCTTATATCCTCAATATTGTCATCCAAAATGTTTCATGCGTTCACATAACCATGATAAGAAGTTTAAATTTTCTAACTTTCTATGCATCAAGTGTGCATTAAACGTCGAATTCTGTGAATTTTGGGACATACCGCGGTGGCCAGACAAGGTGTGAGCAATAGCCCCAGAGAGGTAATATCACAGAGGCGGACTTGAACATCTTCGGTTCCGGCAGCAACGAGCATGTGAGAAGTTGCCAACGGCGACATTGCAGTTCCGTACACCTTCCCCGGCATCTTGAAGTCCATCAGCACCTGCGTCGTATTCGTATCCCAAACATTGATGTGATGATCGTACGACCCCGTCACAAACAGTCCGGTGTCGACGGGATACCACACCGCGAACTTATGCCCGTGCTCGTGCTGCTTATCCACCGCAAACAGGCATTTGTGCCTCGTGATAACTCCGTTGCCTAAGTAATCGGTCCCGCGCTGGACATCGACCACGGCAGCGGAAGCATGGAGGCGCCGTATAACAGGTACCGGCCCTCCGTCAAATCGAGCTGGAGAGAGTTGACGGAGCCGCGGTGAGGGGAGATGATGTCTTTGTGATTGGAGAGTAGGAGCGTTTGGATCCGGGTCGACTTGATTCGATTCGAGAACAAATTTGGGCGGAGCTTGCCCGCTTCCCTGTCTCCGATTTCCCGCCACGCTTTCGGAGCATCTTCTTCTTCTTGTACCAAATGCAAAAGCGAAGCACAGGTTCACAACGCAACGATGTCGTATCGCAGTGTTCTCTTTCACACTCTGAAGTAGGAATTCGTTTTCTGTTCTTCCGGGCTTCGCTTTGATTTTCCTGATCAACTCGGACGAACTCGGACAGATTCGGGTTCGGGTTATAATGGCTGACAAATGATGCGTCAGCAAAACGACAGCGTAAGCCTTTCCAAAATCGAAGACTGGGGTTTGTGTTGTGAATGAGAGTGTCAACTTCCGTTCTCGAATGATGAATTCAATATTTAAATAGGACTGGCCTATTGGTTATTGTGATAAATTCAAGAATACTACTTCATTGTTGAACTCCCAATCATAAATGAACACAAGTCTAATTATACTATTTTGTTTTAATTATTTGAACACGTGTCTATTTATGATTGAGATTCAACAAAAGATTTTGCTATTCTTTCAGTAGTAAAGTAGTTTTCTACATTCAATGCTTAACCTAGAATCCGCTAGGCACCAAAATCATTTGGAATTAAGGAGTTGAGATCTTCTTCGGATCTTTGTGCCGGAGCTTAAGGACTCAAAGACCGAGGTCGTTGAAGAGAGAGAAAAAAATATCTTAACCATTGATTTGTGTGAAGTCGGCCAGTAAAATCAGCTTATAAGGACTGCAGAATTTAAAATGAGGACCATTACAAAGAAACAAACAACATGTAATTTCCTCCATGTGTATCATTCTTTTACAATTCCCAACTGTCAATTCTTTTACATGTTTCCAGCTGTGACAACCAACAACTTCCAAAATTGTTAAATTCTGGAACGGTATTGCAAATGTCCTTTAGATTTGGGTCTGCTTGTGGGGAATTCTTCTTCCTCTGATGCATCGAGTTCTGCATTTCCTCAAGCCTCAAAGCACTTAAATTTGGAAAGGTGGCATCTACATGCCCAATACCTCGAAGGAAAGCTACTTGCTTTTTAGAGCATGCACCATAAAACTTAATCTATTTGAGTTTGCAGAAGAGCCACACCAACTCTCTATATTGCTGGGCAACTTCAACTTTCCTAGCTTGGGAAATGAATCTTGAAACATTACAGGCCAACGTGGGGATGTTTTACAACATGCATGGCAAAAAATATGGGGTCTTCAACAACTTTTATTCATTTGGGCAAAAAGAAATGTTCTATTTCGCTTGATAAATTTCAATAGAAGTACTCTTATTAGGGTGTAAACCTGTGGATAGTCCTATAGTAGAAAAACATCACTTGAGTATTTACCCAGATTAGGTTTCTGTTGATAGGGGTAGGTATCAAAGACTTGTGGGGAGATTAATTTATTATCTCATACTCATACTGATATTGCATATGTTGTGGGTGTTGTAAGTCAGTTTATGCACTCGCCCAGTGAAGATCACATGGCTGCGGTAATGCGAATTTTGGTATATCTGAAGTCTGCACTCGTTAAATGAATACTTTATGGAAAACATGGACATCTAAAGGTTGAGAGGTTTTAAGATGTAGATTGGGCTAACAATGTTACTGATAGATGGTCTACATCTGGATATTTTACGTTTGTTGGAGGTAATTTGGTTACGTGGCATAGTAAGAAGCAAAAAGTCGTGTCAAGGTCGTTTGCGACAGTTGAGTATAGAGGTATGACACACTGAATATGTGAACTTCTTTGGTTACGTAAACTTTTGAGATGTCTTGGTTTTGAATCAAAGGAGGCTATGGAGTGATATTGTGACAATAAATGTGAAAGGGAGATTGCTAATAATCCGGAACATGATCGAACAAAGAATGTGGAGGTTGATTGACACTTCGTCAAGGAAAATCTTGAAAGGAAAATTGTGTCTATATCGTTTATGAGTTCAGGAGAGCAGTTAGCTGATATTCTTACTCATGCGGTATCTAGTAAGGTTTTCCAATACTCAATTATCAAGTTGGGCATGTATGATATTTATACACCAACTTGAGGGGAGTGTTGATTTGAGTCTTAATTGTAAATGTTCTTATTTGAAGTAGGATTAGGAACTGTAATCTTTAGAATTTAGTGTCCTTATATTTTGTAATTACTTTCCTTATAAAATAAGATATAAATATTTGTATATTGTAAACCCTAAAAGATAAATAATATAACGTAGTTTTCAAAGTATTTCTTCTTCTATTCCCCCTCCCCCCAAAACAAACATCATCTTTCCAAATTCACTCATTTTCTCTAATTTAAGTATGTACACCATCACACTCCTTTTATGTTTTCTTCGTGTTGATCCAACCACTCTATTCTTCTATCACACTCATCTTTTATTTATTTTTTATTTTAACCCACCACTGATCTTCTCGTACAATTTCCCCCCAAAGAACCATCTCCATTCTCATTATTTTCTACAACCCGTCCCCTATGCTATTCATCACTCTTTCTTTTTCTCTTCCTCTCTCTCTCTCTCTTTTTTTTTTTTTTTTTATTTTTGGAGTTCTTTTCTTTTTTCACTCACCTTCCACACCCCTTCTTCCTTACTACACAATCTTGTGTGTGTCTCTCTCTTCACTAGTTAATATTGATGCATAACTCAATTTGAGTTCCACAGAGCAATTCTCTTGGAATATAGCTTTCTCGGTTGTACAAGTCTTAATCACGACATCGTCTTCATCCGTCATGACTCCCATTAGTGAGGTTGACTGGCCAAAGGCAACGTTGTCGTTGTAGCTTGGCGTCCCGACACATCTGACGTCTTGCTGGCAATGTGGCTTTTGGTGGCGTTGAAGGTGCAGGATGGCATTTTATGACAATATGTGGGTTCATGATTTTTGGATTGTAAAAATTTGTTATGTGAGAGAGGAGATTATGTTGATGAATAAAGATATATAAGAAATTAGGTTGGCCATGGTGAGCTTGTTAAGTAACGTGATGACAAGAAGAATCCATTGTAAGGAATTTGATGTGTTGGTGTTGGTTCTTTGGTTTCAAATGCTTTCTTCACCCTTTGGTTTGTGATTCACGTCTAATCTACTTGCACAAAAGTTACTAGTTTTGGTTGATTGGTGGTGTGTTTTCATGGTTAAAGGATAGAGGCATAGAGTAGTATAAATCTAGTAAAACACAATGACACACCGACTTTAAGTGGTTCGCCAATTTGGATACGTTCACTAGAGTTGCATATGCATTTGGATTTCACTATATAAGGGAGATTTACAAAACACAATGAAGATGGTCTAGAGCCTTTACATAAGGTAAAAGAAAGGGAAGGTGGGTGGTCTGAGAATGAGAGATCTTTCTTGTAGCAGTTGCGTTGTTGCTGGTGTGGTGTTGTTCCTCCCGTACGTGTTCTTTCTTCCTTTTGCCTTTATGAAGAAATCAATGGAATCCTCAATTAAGTCTTCAATGACACATTTCAATTCTTTTGCAACACTTGGAACATCAAGCATTGAAAGCATCAGTAACTAATCATGATTATAGTTATTACCGTGGATGTGGACAACTACCCAAAAGCCACGTCCTACTCTAAGGGATATAGAATCTCACCCTTCCAATTTTGGGGAGTGAATCATCACCATACATTAACTCATAATTTGCCACCTCACCATTTGGTTAAAATATCATACCAATTCTAGCTAGATTTATTTCACTTCAAGCTTAACTCTTAGCTCGTTGCTGTTAGTTACACTTTAAACTATGAAAAAAAGGCTAGTAAGGTGAATCAATTCTATTGGCATGTAAATGATAGATAATAGGCCTAACAATGCAGTCTACAAATAAACATTTCCGGTATAAATACACGGAGAAATCTTACTTTATTCTCGTATATAGTGAAATATATATGTATTAGTTAACTAACGAAGAAAAGAACTTAGTAGATTAAATATTAGAGTAAAGCACAAATTAAAAATACTTTGATACATACATATATATATATATACACACACACACATTTTCTTTTTAAATACAGGTATTACAACTTCAAATCTAATAATAGGATGTAATGGGCAAATTTCATTAGTTTAAAGACTGATTTTTCTGAAAAATAATTTAGAGACTAAATCGGCAGCTAGAAAAATCACCGTAGCTTAGTAACAGTGGATTTCCAATTTTACCCCCGTTTCTTTTTTGTTTTTTCAACTTTGCCATGTTGCTTAGCTGTCAAATGGAGAACAGAATGGTGATGCGTGGTTTTCACCGCTTCTTCCCTCTCCCTCTTCGCCTCATCCGGTAGAAATTCGTTTCTGTCGCTCACAATTCGCGAAAGAAAATTCTAAACCTCAAACAAACAAATCGCATAAAACCTCAAACCCAACAAAAGTAATGAAAATGTTACGTGTTAGCAATCAAGGCAACCAACATATGACATAAACTAATAGCCTATCGGAATTGTAGCTACAAATCTCCATCAAAATTCTTGAGCGGAACCATCAAAGTTGCTATTCCTCACAAGACAATGTTGCTGAGAACGAAACACAGGTGATACTTCATAACTACCGAGCTTTATCAAAATTCAATTTGCATTTTTGAGTTTGTATGTGCTGGTGGTGGTATGAGTGTCTACTGGCTCTGTTATGCTTGAAGGCATATTACTATCAACTTCATCGTGTGAGATACAGCTTTCAGGTTCCTTTCTTTGTTGTGCGATGAAATTATGTGTTTGCTCCTGTCTTATTCGTGATGCCCGGGCTGCCCGTTGTTTTTCTTCTTTTGCACAGCGTTGCCCACTCGTCCTCCTTTGTCTTGCCATGCGTCGATCATCCTGGATAGGTCTTCTTCAATTGGATCTCTCCAAGTTTCTTTCGGTTTCCATTTGCTTCTCTCAGCCTTCCTCTCTCTCTCTCATCGCTACTCACTCTCGCTTTTCCGATGAATTTCCAGTCAAAATTGGGCACGATGCGTCTCCAAATCACCACCAATGGAAGGTAGTTGGAGAATCGTGTAAGATTAATCCTCAAATTTTGAATTTTATTTTTTATTTGATTTCTCTTAATGCATGTTTAAGATTAGTGTTCGTGGAGGTGATTTGAGATGGATTTCAAGCTGGATTGCAGAGATAAGTAACTTAATAAGAATCATGATTATTGAAAGAAAAAATGGATAAAAATCAAAGTCGCCCAGTATTTGGAACACTTTCCGTGTAAAGAAGCCGAAATTATAGTAATCTTCCTTTTATTTGATGGTTGTGTTAGGCATATTATGGTTTTCCTATCTGTTAATAGGGGTTCGGGAGTTCACTAAAATCGCTTCGAATTTGCTTTAGTTTTGATCAGAAGAGGAGGCAGAGGCAGCTAGTGCTGCTCTTGCTGTGACCCAGGAAGTTCTCGTGTTCGTCAACAATATCTCTATGCATCCGGAGACTTGGCTCAATTTTCGACGGCGATGAAGATTCAGATGGTATACTCTGCTTCGATTTGTCCATTTCTTTGTGTAATTCAATTCAATGTGCTTTGTTTTCATGAAACTAAATGCATAGTAGTGATACTAATATTTAATTCTCTAGATGCATGTGTAGCACATTCGGTAAATAATAAAGCTGTAGAATTGCACATTCGATAAAACCTTCTGTCTTCCTTTGCGGACAAGCCGAATGATTATGAGCTTCCAGTCCTTTTGAGTAATATTTTTACCAATTATTTTTTTGTTGAGTAAACCAATTTTTTTAGAAAAGGAAGGAATGCTTTTAGCAAATCACTTACAAAAAATTCATACACTAACTTACCCATATACAGGTTTTCTACAAAATGATCATCCTATTTTCAATGCATAGTTAATCAATGATCCGAATTGTTCACTTTCTTTCAAGAATACAAATAATCAGCTAAACCAACAATTGATTAGGTGTTCGATTGTTTCGACATTTTCATTACAATTTTGTCTACTGAGTCATGATTTTGTGTATATTTTAGGATTTGAATGATTGTTTGCGAGAATAACTCTTGAATATGAAGGTTAAATATAAACATAGTTTCGATCACTAAAACGCATTATGTAAAATGAGAATAACTTTACGAAGATATAATAATAAATAGAACCCCAAAATAATGTTTTCTCCAACCTACCTAACCCAATGCCAAATAATGTTTTGCATATTTCTACAATGATGTAATTTGGCCATTGAAGGGATCTCAGAATGAGAAAGTGATCAAGTGTGCTTCCGAAGTTTTGTGTCATGGAAGATAATCATATGATTCAACAATTTTTCAACATTTTCACGTTTTTTTGGTAAAGGATGAATTCAAAATGTGAATAAGAAAGATAACATGTGACAGCCCGTCCCGAAAATATCGAAAACGTACGTGTGAAAAGACAGTTTTGCCCCTAGTTTGATTTCGTTACGTTTATTGGTTGTTTTTGTGTTGTGTTGGCATGTCTTTGGGCCACACACACACTCCCACACCTGCACCACCCTCTGTCCCCTTTCCCTGTAAGTTCCCCGAGCCCCATTCTCTTCCTCCCATTTCTCCTGAAAACGTACGGACACACACCAAAACCCATCAAACACTCACAGATCGAAGGAACCAAGCACATATTCGAGCTCGTGAGGCTCGTGCGAGTGCAACCATACCATTTTCAGGTGAGAACTCTATCGTTTTCACGTCGATTCGAAGTTGTCCGATTTGAGTACTATTCATGCAAACGTAAATTCTCACATTTTAGGGGAAATGAAGCTCGTAGGTAGCTTGGTGAGGTCCCAAGGAGTCTCGGAGTAGTTCGTTTGAAGGATTTGGACGTCGGGATCACCGTGTTCGAAGTTGGCCGGTTTTGGATTGTGTGGACAGGTAAGATCTCGTAGTTTTTAACCCTTAAAAGTGGTATATCGTTGTTCTCCTAGTTCTAGGCGTCATTTTGGTACAAAAATCGTGAAAATTGGATGAAAAATGAAGGAGTTAGGACGTTTTAAAGATTTCCCAGTTTTCCGGCGCCGGCGACGGCACCGGAGTCTCGCCGGGGAAGAAGACGAAATATTCCGTCAAGTTTGACGGAATATTCCTGACGCCGTTGATGGAATCCGTTAGAACTAACGGAATATTCCCTACGGCGTCAGTTGACGCCGTCAGCGTGCCAGGCACGTGCCTGCGCGTGGGGGCGCGTGCGGCGGTGGAAATTTTTTTTAAAAATTTGTGTGTGATCCTGAGGTTGTGTAGAGCATGTTGGTATATTCAATTGTCCATTTTGAGCAATGTATGAGAAGTTATTACGAAAGGAAAGTTATGCGCTTTAAAAATTAATGTTTTTATAGTATTTTCGCATATAGGTGAGACATATCCCGAGGACGAGCGTGGTCACTCGAGGCAGGGGGGCTACGACCCTTCCACATACCAGTGAGTGGGCTTTTGGTTTTCCGTACATACCTATATACTTATAATTCCCAGAAATTTATATAAATGTTTATTAGTTATATGCCATTCCTTTTATATTAGTGGTTATTATGCATGATTAGTTGCATATATGTTTGTTTACACATATTCATTTATATGTTCATATATGTATATATATATATTGGTGCTGTGGATGCACAGGTAAGTGCCAGGTAAGTGTTATTTAATGTTTGCATTAAATAGTGATTAGAGGTGCTTAGAGAGCTCATAACCTGCACCCCCGGTGTTAGTGCTCCCGCCCAGAGTAGGGCACAGTCCTTCACGTGTTGTTCACCTCCCGCACCATACGCTCAGCTTGGATCCAAGTTAGGTGCACAGTCTTGTCGTACAGACCACCTTAGGTGGTTCCGACTTGTAGGTGACCCGCGATTATTCGCACAGCCTTCACGTGATCGTAGCATTAGAGCGTTTATATGTATTACACCTAGGCCTGTCGTACAGACCACTATAGGTGGTTCCGACTCGTGGGCAGGTTTAGTTATTGAGATTGAGATTTGAGCTCTAGATTCAGCCGTACAGGTCACTTTAGGTGACTCCGGCTGCCAGTTATATGTTATTGATGTGATTTTCACTTGAGCACTTGCATTTCATCGTGAGATTTGGTATGGCATATTCTTGAGCATGATTGGCATATCTATATATACGTACATATGTTTATTTTCTGGGAGGTATACAGGTTTTACGGCGAGGGGTTAGAACTTATTTTGCTAAATGGTTTTTGAAAAGCTTTGTTTTTGCCTACTCACGCTTTTGTTTTGCGCCCCTCCAGGTTCTAGCTAGCTAGCAAGTTGGTGGGTTCCCAGAGGGCTTTTCCGGCATTTCTGACAGACGATCATCAGCGTATGTCCACCTTCGGGTGCACTGTTGTAACGCTATTTCAATTTGGACTGCTTTAGGTTTTCTGCTCTGAAATTGTGTCTCACTTACGCTAGCACTTACTTTGACCTTATGTATGCTAGTTTTTATTTATTCGTACTTTTACGTTACTACTTTATTAGCTTCCGCACTGTGTACATGGCTACGTCACTTCCACGTGACGGCCAGCACGCCCTGATCTCGGTCAGGGTGTGTCATAACATGCTGACATCTGTTCTGCCACCAGGTAAAAAAAAAGTATGTGTCTTTTTACTCAATCAACTCATTTTGTGTTCTAATTCAGAGTTATGAATCAGAGTATTGTCTACCAATATAAAAAGCAGGATTGTGAAATCATGAGATATTTGACATTTTATGTTAAACTGAATTAAGAGCACACTTTCAAATACAATTTCATTTATATTTATTCAATCAAACATTATAGTCCTATTATTAGAGAAAACTATTCTTTTTTCTGATCAAGTAATATATTATTTTAGGACTCATAAACTTATACTATTTAAATTCAATAAATCTATAGTACATTGGCTTAAGAATTGTTATTAACAGCACTAGAAAACCGTCTTTCTGCATTCTTCTTTGTTTCATGCATAATTACAACATGATTTCATAATACATAATTACAACATCACTCACTGTCTCCGAATTCCAAATTTAGTTAAGAACAATGACAAATGACTGAAAAGCATGATGTTTTCAAAATTATTTGGTTGGCAGTCCTACTCAGTGATACGAACTGCAGGACTCCAATTGTCATTTATCCTTCTATTAATAACGGGGAACCCGTGGAAAACATGATGGCTCCTTCTTGGGAAAATTGTGCCCCCCAACCCAAATGCCAAAATCAGGTGGCTTGAGAATAAGTGTTTTTCAGATAGAATATTGTACTTGAATCATCAATTAAGTTACAATTTAACAAAAATACGTAAAAAGGGTTAACAACCAGTTTAAGAAATACTATTTGTCTTTGATGGTAGTTATATGCATGTGTGTAGTGTTGTGAAATAAATATTATGTGTGTGTTGATTTTTTTTTAAGAGATAAGTACACACGTACACAATAGATTTTTGTTAAAACAAATTATATGCATGATATCTTTTTTTACTGTCAATGAGCACATTCTTTCTCACACATTATTGTACAACAATCTGTGTTGTAGATGGATTAACTAATTTTTCTACCCAATATCATTTCTTTGTTATACTTAGTAATTTTTGTGGCCATTATTCACATGCAGCTTATGAAAAATTATGACTAATTTTTGCTGGATTCTTTATTTGGGTGATCTAATTTGTAACAGAGGATCCACAGAGAAAAAAGAGTAAATCTCAAGAGTGCAGAATCATTGACGGTCAGCACCAAACAAGTTGGGTAACTCATACTAGAAGCCGCTATATTTTGAACAATTGTTTAAATGTAGAATGCTAACTTGTTTTTTTGTGCAAATATATTTTAGCTACCAGCTACTGTTCAGTGGTAAAAAAAACTACAGTTTTTGGAGTACATCAGTAAAATAAGAGCAGCTATATTTTGAACAACTCTTAATATGTATATAATATAATATCAGTGTAGATGGTTAAGTTATCAACAACTACTATATGGTTTTATGTGAATACTTTGTACATGTTTTGTATAAATAGTTTCTACATATCCATATACCAACACTTAATCCCTTATTTGCATACTGAACTTATAATTCGCTTGACACTCCCGCGGCAACGCGTGGGTTAAATCTCTAGTATCCTCTAAGCATGCATGTTGGTTGGAGTCAAATGCAGAATCATAGAATCAGAAATTAAGATCATAGAATCAGAAATTAAGGTAATCTATATACATTTCATTTGAAGTTTCCTTTTATAGAATTTGCTTCACTGGTGCAGATAATGTTATAACTGTTTTAATGGTTTGATGGATGATTCAGAACTGCTTCTTTGTATGCAGATTACCATATGTATTTGAGAGCACAGCTGATGTAAGTTCTCTCTCTCTCTCTCTCTCTCTCTGCATCGATCTGTTTTGTCTGTCAACTTTGCTTATAACTTACTCTCCTAGTATTTCCCGTATCAGGAAAATTTTACCGAACGCAAATGATAAATGTTACGAGCATGAGAAAGGCATAACCAATATTAAATCAGCTTTTCAGGTATGCATGGATTCCAGATTCAAGCCATCACTTCCGTTTAGTATGTTGTTTATCAATTTGTGATCATAACACCGTCAGGCAGTGTTACCATTGTGAATGTTATGTGAGAAAGCAAAGAAAATTCTAATGGGAGAAAGCAAAGTTAAGGTGAAGATTTTGGTTTGCCCTTTAGCTTTCATTAAGTTCAATGCTAATTAGGGGTTTTTCTTCATATGTTTTCTTTCGTGTTTCAACTTCCGATTTCACTCAATTTTATGTACTTGCTGAACACCTTCTTTGTTTTACAAAATGTTTGTATATTCCCAAATAGTTATACGAAATACCAACACTACTTAGATCACACTGATAGTACTTGGACCTGAAAAAATAATGGTCAAACAGATCTTTTCTCAAAGTCAAATCTCCATTGTACAAATGACTGATTTTTAAATGTGTAGTTAACGTTTGATCGTTTTATAGTTTTATTAAATTCCAGATTCTGAACCCTGATATGATTTTGGTGGTTGTAAATTTTTCTACTTATTAAGGCTTCAAAAAATAAATATGTGGTTTGATATGTTGAATTATCCATTATGTAGATTTGGGATTTTGGAAGTAATACTAACTGGAATTAAACAGGTTGCTTAATTGGTGGACAGATTAAGCCACTGTGAGAAAGTGAGGTGCCATGTGTTATAGGTGCTAATCTAGTTTCCTGCTTTTGCATCTTTCTGATTTTTCCTTATGCCGAGTCCTACAACACTAACTCTGTTATCAAAGTAACGTTTACAATTACCTTGGGCAGTTCTATACTAAATTGCAGGAAAAGATACATGCAAAGGAGATGGAGAATAATTTGCAAGCCAGGTATGAGGTGGTATTCAATCGATGGTGGTCAACCGAAACCTGTGTGTGAATTATGTTTTTATTATGAATGTTGTCTGTTCTTTTACAGGAAACTCTAGAAGCTGAGATTAGAATGTTCAGGAAGAAACTGACATTTAAAGAAGTCCAATGCCAATCTTCTATCAGGAGCCTCCACCTCCTAAAGCGGACCTGAAGAAGGTATATCTTTCTTCCTTCAAAATCACAAATAGCATGATGTATATTATTTTGTTCATGTGCAATTTCCAGTTCTCTGGTGAATCTGATTCCACGCTTTAGTTTGGAAAAATCTTATTTTGTCATATATAGAAAAGTGGTGGGGCGTGCAAGTACAGTATTGATGGACTTCTAAATGGTGGTTAGTATAGTTTATAAATTTGTAATGCATGTGCTCTCTAACCTTAAGCATGTCTTCATCATGATCACAGAAGGCCATGATCCTGTTGGACACATGCTGGTTGCATGTTTTCTTATATTACAGTTGTCTGTGTAGGATGCCTTTGGTAGATTTTCCCCTTATATTTCTTATTTTAGTAGGATGTGCAACTTTTAACAATTGCATACTTGGTATACTGGTCCTAAGTTATTTTCCCATTCTTCAATATTGTACAGGTAATTTTCCTTCAGGTTCGACAGGAAGAGAGTGCATCTTTTATCACTTATACTTCTGAGTTCATGCACCTTTTTCATTCTTTGCAAATTGAACATGTTAATCAAGCCAATCCTTCAAGTTATCAATCACTTAATCATACTCTCACAATCCTACCCCATTCAGTCTGTTGGTCGGAATGGTGGTCGTATCTGAGTTATTTTTGACAGTTACAGCTACCATGCTCCATTTGATTGGAAAGGAGGCACCGCAGGCGTATTTTGATGCTGCCAACAACTGTTTTACCAAAAATTGCACTGTGTATTACAGTTCTTACTTTGTTAGTATACCGAAAGCTTATAAAAAATCGATGTCAAGTATCTTGACTAATATGTAGTCTAAACACGCATTCCTACTACGACTAATTAAGTTGGCACTGCATTGTGATAATCTTGCTTCACTGTACTTGGCTGTTATTTGACAGCATCTGCTTTATTTTGGCCTTGACAACTTTAGTGCAATTGATGCAGATACCAGCAACGAGCCAATCTCCCAAGCTCGGACGTAAGAAGAGCTTACTTCCTGCAGTTTCTGAAGCAAACCGTAATATCAATGGTCAGTCAGCAGGTTTAGTCTGGATGAGAAAGTACCTCAGAACACTGCTAGAGGGCCTTCTCCTGTGTAATCAAAGAAGCCACAACGGAAGTCTCTTCGTAGACTCCCGAACTTTTGTCGCGGAGAATTGTTGGTACTGCTTGAGCAATGCTTAGTTTGTACTGTGTTTCTTTGGCAGTCAGGTGAGCAATCCTTAATTTTGATGAATTTAATTTTTTCGTTTTGAAGCTGAAATTGGCGTCTGGGAGGGAATACTGCGTCAGGATGATCTTGGAGGCCGTCCGGGGAGAGCATTTGTCAGGTCATTATTTGAGGATGTAATATTACCTATTCAGAAATTTAATTTGAAAACTAAATATCATAAGCAAACAATTATTTTAAAGTATTCGAAATTTAATTTAAAATGTGCAGAAAATTGTCTTCAGTAAAACCCAAAACCAGTACACATAAAAATAACAAACATGTTAACAAGAGAACTAACTATGCAGCAAAGTTGTTATTTCTTTATATACATTGAGTGTAGTTTTGCCATCACTACCACCACGACCCATCAGCAACATCTGCATCACCTTCACCTTCACTCTCGTCTTTAGAATCATCAAAGATTCCGTCATCAATAACATCATCACCAACACCAACACTAGTAAACATCATCTAATTATTTCATCCTTTTGGTAAAATAAAACATCATCTAATTCATCCCACCATTTATAATATACTTCTTCCTCTGTTATCTGCACTCCTTGTAGTTCTGGGGAACTCTTCCACTCAAAGCGGTTAATCTTCAACTTAGGGCATTCGTATATATTTACAGTTTTCAAGGATGGGAATTTGACAATGCAATTTCCAGAGAAGAAATCTTGCAGACTTGGTAGACATAAAAGGTTCAAACGTTGCAACTGGCAAAAAGAAATCTCACCATCATTTCCTGCATCATCTCCATCTGATGTCGTTGCCCCTATTTCTGTCATTCTTTCACAACTCCCAACGATCATTTCTCTTAGCCGCTTTAAAGTTTTGGCTATCGTATATGTTGCTAAATATTTCAAGCTGTGACAACCAACTACATTCAAAGTTGTTAAATTCTTGAAGGGAATAGCAGATGACCCTAGATCCTTCAATGCAGAACAATCCACCATTCGTAGAACTTCCAAGTTTGGAAAAACTGGGCCTGCTTTTGGGACACTAACTCTAGTTTCTTGGCATTTAATTGTAATTTTTGAATATTAATTACGTTGTGTGGTATACATTCATACCGAAACTAGTGTGGGATACATTTGTACCTATACTTGTATAGACATCAAAGTACTCTCTCAGATCTGACACATCTGACGTCTTGTTGGCAATGTGGCTTTTGGTGGTGTTGAAGGTGTAGGATGACATTTTATGACAACATGTGGGTTCATGGTTTTTGGACTGTAAAAATTTGTTAGAGATTATGTTGATGAATAAAGATATAAGAAATAGGTTGGCAATGGTGAGCTTGTTAAGTAACGTGATGACAAGAAGAATCCATTGTAAGGAATTTGATGTGTTGGTGATGGTTCTTTGGTTCCAAATGCTTTCTTCACCCTTTGGTTTGTGATTCACGTCTAATCTACTTTGCACAAAAGTTACTATTTTTGGTTGATTGGTGGTGTGTTTTCATGGTTAGAGGATAGATGCAGAGAGTAGTATAAATCTAGTAAAACACAATGACACACCGAATTTAAGTGGTTCACCAATTTGGCTACGTCCACTAAAGTTGCATTGGATTTGACTATGTACGAGAGATTTACAAAATACAATGAAGATGGTCTAGAGCCTTTACATAAGGTAAAAGAAATGGAAGGTGGGTGGTCTGAGAAGGAGAGATTTTTCTTCTAGCTGTTGTGTTGTTGCTGGTGTGGTGTTGTTCCTCCCGTACTTTTCTTTCCTCCTTCGGCCTTTATGTTGAAAGAAATGGAATCCTCAATTAAGCCTTTGATGACACATTTCAATTCTTTTGCAGCACTTAGACATCAAGCATTGAAAGCATCAGTAACTAATCATGATTATAATCATTACCATGCATGTGGACAACTATCCACAAGCCACATCCAACTCTAAGGGATATAGAATCCCACCTTTCCAATTTTGGGGAGTGAATCATCACCATCATTTCCTGCTTCATCTCCATCTGATGTCGTCGACCCTATTTCTATCATTCTTTCACAATCCCCAACCCCCATTTTTCTTAGCCGCTTTATAAAAACATTAAATTTAACGGGTAAAATTGAATATGACAAATTCAACAGTAAAAAAATTAAATCAACAGCTAATGCAATGCTTTGTTTCAAGAGAATAGTCAGTCTAGTGATTTTTCATTATATATCGAAATCTAACTTTTTTAAGTTAAAATGTTCATAAAAATAAATTAGGATAATCTACATAATTTTTACTTTTTAAAAGGTTGCTTAATGGACATAATTGAGCTTAAATTAATTTCTTAATAATCTTTGTTGAAAAATTTAACTCAGAACGGTTGGAACTTGGAACAGAAAAATTGTTTTTGGGTTAAAACTTAATTTTTTTGTCCCTTTATTTGGAGATGGTCTTAGTATAGGTATAATATCAGACTTTTTTTTCTTCTTTTTTTATTTTTTTATTTTTTATTTTTTATTTTTTTAAGATAGCTAAATCTTGCTTTGGTGTAAGATATATGAGATATGGATCCTGCTTTCAATAAGTTCATTCACTAAGAATTTAAGAACAATTTAAACAGAACAAAAAAACTCAATTATATGCCTAGACCTAAAACTTTGGTCAACTTCTCAGGGTTCTAAATGGATATTCCAAAGATTTTTTGTGACAGAATAGGAACGATCGGTTCCAACGTAGCCAAAGAAACTCAATTTTTTGTGACATTTTGGGATGCCATCTATGTATGGGAATGATTCAAGCTGCTATAATTGCTTATTATGTTTCATATTTTTGTGTATATGTCTGCTTTTTAAAGTCTTTCTTGCAGTTTACTCATATGTGCACTTTGGCATGCTAAGTTTTAGTTGAACCCACTGAAATCATGAAAGAACCAAATTTAGTTGGGTTTGGGAGAACAGATAAACATACATGGACATAATGTTTTATGGATTTTGATCAAATATTTAACTTTTTCACTAAAGGGGCAATGATGAGTTAGTGGGAGGGGTGCAATGATGAGTCGGATTGGATGGGTGACAGAAACTAGAGGATCTGAATCATGAGTTACTGAGACGGAAAGACCTTGAAGAAAAAAATCAAACAGTTGAGTGTCACATTTGGTTGTCGGAAGACATCGGTTATGTCTTTCCACAGGGAGTTTTAAGTCTAAGATTGAGCGTTTGAGAGCCAAAAATCCAGTTTCAGTACCCAAATTTGTTGGATGTTGAAGATTATCAAGTGGCCTTATTAGCAGTATTTATGTAGGCTGTAATGTTTTTTTCTTTTCTATTCAGAATGATTCTTTCTAACTCGTGATTATGTATCAATGTGGATTTCTGGTATTATCCTTTTTAATTCTTGTGATGTTTTGAGGGGTTTTTTTTTTATTTTTTTATTAATGATATTCTACTTTGAGAAGAGAATTTGGGCTAAACGAGATAAAATGCCATACATAATTAGGTATTGAACTCATCATTTATGTTAGTCGAATACGAGACTTCTCATTTACTACTATAGAGGAATATAACTGGCCTATAGAGTTACTACATATTCAAAGATCGTTAGAACCTTTCAAATGTAAAAGATTGCTCTTATGTTTTCGCGTCTTTCGTTCCAGCTTTAATGTTGTGTCATTTTTAGCTTGGATTTGGAACTCGAATAGTAGAGCATTTACCCACTAAACAAAATGAAGAGCAAAACAAAATGTCATGGAGTTTCTGCAAGGGAACGATAGTTTAGTTGGTTACTCTATATTCAAAGTCTCATGTCTAATTTCCTCTTCTTCAATATCGCTTGTGACATTAGACAAGATGGGGGAGTACAAAATAAAATTTGTGAGGTTGTTAGAGTTTCATCTTGTACTCCCCCATCTTCCCATTACATTACTCCACACTGATAGTGCCATAGTGGGCTACAAGTGAAGCCACACTTCACATATTAAAGATTATCAAAAGGTGTTTAGCCCCAAAAAGTTTTAGGTAATTAATGCTTAATTAGGGTTGGAGATAAGAGTGTGATGGAAATTGAGTAAACCTAGCATTCGTGTCGTGTTTCTCGTGTTCGTGTCATTTTCGTGTCATACCCTATAGCTTAACGGGTCGTGTCGTGTAATACTCGTTAAAGTAAACGGGTAATATGACCCGACCCGAAATCAACCCGTTAATATTATCAAGTAATATGACCCGACTCCATTACCCATTAAATATATTTTAAATCAATAAAAATGAAAATGAAAAACATAATTTGACCCAAAAAAATGTAAAACATAAAACTAAATAAGTATATACATACTAAATTTCGGAGTTGAACCCTTCATGAAAGTTGTAAAGCTTTTCATTACAAGCGATTACATTTTGCACTCAAATAAAAAACATTGGAGGGTTTTAAAAATCTAAACGACCAAGTAATCATCGTCTAAGCGTTGAAGATGCAATTATGAACGTTTATTATGCTTTCACATCTTTCAGACTTATACATTAATGATTATGAATTTTGTTTATTTTGAACTCCTTTAAAAATACTATTCCTAAGACTTTGTATGGTTTTAAAAATTCAAACGATTATATTCCCATCCTCAAAGCGTAGAGGATGTGGCTACGAGCGTTTGCATATTTTTTTCATATTTTTCGCACATGTAAATTAATTATTATAATTTTTTTAATGTGTTTAGTATTTTTAAATTACTTGATATTTTTATTTTTAATGTGTTTTATGATTTTTAATCTCAATCTTTGTCTACAATATAATA